AACCGCGGTCCCTGGGCTTTGCTAAGCTTGTTCTAAGTAGGTGCTTTAGCCCACTGAGCCATCTCACCAGCCCCTGTCCCAGAACAGTCTTGAAGGCATTTCATGTGGCAGTCCCACTTACCCTTTGAGGTACCATTAGAGCAGTGACTGCCAGCCTGTGGTGGAATTAATACCCTTGGCTACCCATACACATGTGCAGTCACAGCACGGTGCTGCTGGTGTTTGGCCTTCAGTTCTGAGGTGCATCTTGAATTCAAGAATACTAACATAGGAAAAAGTCAGAGACTTAACGTCAATGAAAAAGTTTCTTCCTAAGCGCTTAGTGAGGTTTCCCAACTGGTCTCCTTATTATGTTCAGTGTAGATAAGATATATATTTTAATCTTTTCAAAATCATTAAAACCACAATAGCTCTCTAGATAAAATTCAAATTCTACCAAGGGTCTACATTTCTTCTCGCCTCTCCCATTTCATCTTCTATTAGCCCTTCTCATAGTCCTTCTGTTCTGTCCCACAGTCTATTGCTTTTCTCTAAACATAGGAGTGATGTGAAAATCACAGATTGGAAAAGATCTGAAGTCCATTATACCCTTTTCTCTAATCAGGTGCTAGGGGAATAATTTTTATTCCCTGTTGCCAGTGTGTCAGTAAATCCCACAGACTCCTGGTCCTGCAGTGACTTCCCCAGGATTCCAGTTCCCACCATTCCCCTCAGTCCATTTTTCTGTACCACAGCCTGAGGGACCTTAAAGTGACAGCCTGTCCCACTGCAAGACGATGTGCCTGCCGCCTCTGTAGAGGACTTGGAGCTGCCTGCTCTTTGCTCCCCTGTGGAAAGCCTGGGGGAAAGACAGTTGGGCTGGGGCAGCATCCATGTGCTTGTGCCTCATCGGGTGGGCTGCCCAAGTCTGGAGTGCCAAAGAGGCCAGGGCTGGAAATAGAAATGTAGGTGTTCTCAGCAAATAGCGGGGACATTAGTCTTGCAACTAGACGAGTCTTGGCACTGGGGAAGTGGACAAGGAAAAGTCTGAGCGCCCACACAGGTCCCACCCTCCGTTCCCACCCGCCCACACACTGCTGCTGGCTGCCCTGGCTTCTGCATCATTGCTGCTGGAACTTGGTGGTGGGCCCTGCCCACCGGGCCAGTCTGCTGCCTCTGCAGTACTGACTTTGCCTTTTAAAACATTGGCCC